TAAAGCGTTACGTACGCAAAGGAATTCCCAATGAGCACCGGGCTCTAATCTGGATGGCAGCCAGTGGGGCTCAAGATCAGTTGGAGAGGAACCCAGGGCACTACCAGTCCCTGCTGGGAGCCGAGCATGACCCCAAACTTGTGGAGACCATCAAGACAGGTCAGCCTGTTCAGTTTCTCACTCAGAATATTTCACGTCTTCAGCAATAAGCTGTACCCTTATCAACATTTAAATTATGATTGGCCAAAATTAATATTAGATTAACTTTTTGACACACAAACTTTTAAGTATTTGCAATTAAAAGCTCTGCAAAATTTAGCTTTGTTGTGTCTTTGTCATCATTTTTATATCTTTATTTATTTGTGAAATAAAACACGTATACGAAATAAACCTCTACAGGCTTTGCGCACCTGGATTTCAGTGTTTTGGTTCTTTATTCCTTCAGGTTCTCCTAAACTCACAAAGCAACTCCTTAACCCTCTATTTCACTAGTACCTACTCAGCTCGACTCTACTCTGTTTCAGTGATTTTTCATTACAATTGAGTACCACCACCTCAAAGTGCCTGGGGTTGTTATAGCAACGCGTGTGAAAGTCACTCAAATAATTTGCATGCAACACAGACGCAACACAATGGACCACATTGAGCGACTGTGGCTCAGGTGGTAGAGTGAATCGTCTACCAGTCGGTGAATCAATCCCCGACTTTGAGTTCTCAGTTGAGAGGCGCTATAAGAGTGCCGGTCCATTTACTATAATAATACCACCTCCGTGTTTCACCTTAGGGGTGTTTGTAGCCAAGTGGTGAGCAGTGCCTGGAAGAAATGCTTGATTTTTGGTCATCAGAATGGAAACATTTTTCCATGTTTTCCGAGCCCGTTTGAGAGTAAAAGACACAAAGTCCAAATATTCAAGTTAATGTTTAGACTGACACAGTCTCACATTTAAAAGCAGGGTTTCAGTTTCCTGCTCCTTATCTATTACAGCGTGTATACAAACACTCCGCACACGGTGTGATCGGTGTCCTTGTGGTCTCTCGTTTTCAGACTTGAACAGAACATTCCCAGAAAACATCTACTTCCACAAGACGTCAAACCCATGTATGCAGAAAGCTCTGTACAATGTGCTGCTGGCCTATGGACACCACAATCCAGCTGTGGGCTACTGTCAGGTACGGCTCAGCGCCACAGAGTCTACCCTGATGTGGATTTTTAATAATATTTAAGGAATAATAATGTAATGAGGTAAAGCAAAAAATCTAGTATTATTATTCTGTGATATTAGTTTGGATTTCAGCAAAGCCACCTTGCGTTGGTCTGTCATTTAAGAGTTGTGCTGCAGGGTTAAAATGTACAGTAATGTAAACTATAAAAAAAAACAGCAGTTTTTATCCTTAATGAAGTTACTTTATCATCAAGACTTACCAATAATTTGCCTCTCTGTCCAGAAAGAGGCTTTATGTGTCTATGCCAACTGACTGTGGTTATTATTAGCATTTGAAAGCCAAATTCCATTCACCAGATCATATGCAACTTGGTTTGCAATTTAAACAAGGGTGTGTTGATGATGTCTGTTGCCAGGCATAAATAGAATCCATTTATCTTTAATTATACTCAGTGGTTGTTGTTTTTTTCTTAATTCCCATTCAGTCAGTGTACACTTACTGCTCTGTGCCCTAGATGCTTTATTAAAGAGCTCTTCTGTCTGATACAGTGTGCTCAGGCAGGATTACAGGACTCATGTGAAACCTAACTGTGTGTCTTTGGCTTCAGGGGATGAACTTCATCGCTGGGTATCTACTCATCGTCACAAAAGATGAAGAGAAATCCTTCTGGCTGATGGAGGCACTGCTCGGCAGAATTTTACCAGGTGAGTGTTTCTGTGCATTCACTTACTGTCACTCTGAGCCCTGTGCTATGAAGCAAGTTCATCATAACCAGTGTGTCTCAATTTAGTATCTACTACTACATGTGTGCGCCCTTTAAGAGCTTTAGTCAGTAAGACTGTAAAATATGTGCTGTAAAAACGTTTTGCCCATTTTAAGCCTGTAAAGAAAGCTCAAGCAATAAAATTGCACCTATGAAACTATATTTACTGATGCTCATCAGGGAAACAGTATAAGTTACCTTGGCAATATAACATAGTATAAAGTGAACCAGCTTGAAAGTATAGAAAACCCAGGGTTAACCTGGAAGTTATGCGGATAAGTTGAAATCCTGCTTTGTAGTACAGACCTGATCTTGTGACAGGTGTGTATTCGTGCAGGTCCTTTGGGTACCAGTGCTGTAGGCTAAGAATAATCCTATCACGTGGCCTCTGTGTGTGGCTTCAGAGCTGCACTTTTTTCACTTGGATCTTGTAGTCAAACAAGAAATGTTTATTAAATTTACATTTAAGCTCTTCATTCAGGTGTTGTATTGCATATATTGCTTTGTTGATATCAACGATGTGTGTCTGCGTTGTGGTTACAGACTACTACAGTCCAGCCATGCTGGGTCTGAAGACAGATCAGGAGGTGTTAGGGGAGCTGGTGAAGGTAAAAATCCCGCCAGTATGGCAGATCATGGTGGACCATAACGTCATGTGGACCCTGGTGGTCTCCCGGTGGTTCATCTGTCTCTACATAGACATCTTGCCTGTAGAGGTGAGTGTGTCTGCGATCAGCGTTTCATGATCCAACTCCTATCAGTACTGCCACAAAACTTTTTTTATTGACATGTAGTTGTAATATCTCAAAAATAGTCAGATTATTTACTAAATACTCGTGCTTCATCACAACCCAGTTTTTAGTGGGTTTCGATAAAAATGACAACAACTTTTGTTTTATTCCTTGTGTTTAATCCAGTGCAGCTAACCCACTTTATACAGCAGTCTTTATTGTTTCTGTCTCCCTCTGTTGACCTTCAGGAGGGTGTGAGCTGCTATGTTTGTTCCCCAGATACAACTGCTGTAGGAGGGTGTAACGCTTGCAGAGGCAGTGGAAAATAACAAGAAAAATGAAAGGAAAAAAAATTCTCCCCACCATTTTGCCCCTCTCTACATTAAAAAAAGACACTAGAAATACAGAAAATAGTCAAATTTGTATTTTCATTTTTAGCAGCAGTGCTGAGGAAACTACAAAATTATTACAAGTAACTGCTTGTTTTTCTAAATGCATAAATATGTGAAAGCACCACAATTTATGGCAAAGTTACCGTGAGCTTTGTCCAGGTGGGTCAAATCTGCATGCACCAACTTCTCTGAACAAACAGCAGTGGTGAGATGGCCGCTGTGTGAGCACTGCCTCCCGTGTGTGGAGGTGACCTCACATCACATTACAGAGCAGGGAAGAAATGGTAAAGGTAAAATAGTTAAAAATAAATAAATGACTTCCTTTTTAAGCCAATGCTGTTTATAGTTTCTGTAGTTAATTATACACAAATGGCAAAAGAAGTAATTAAACAGCTTTTGAACCACTATGCAAGTCTGAATGTAGCTGAACTGCCAGCAGTCACACACCTCCTTTTCTCTAGTGTCAAATGATACCTGAACAGGAAGAGTTTGGGGGTGATGTGGAGTTTTCCTTCATCCACTGTTACAAACATCTACCATGAAAAATGCTTAAAAATAAAAGTTAAGAGCTTAAAAACACTGGAAAATTTAAGGTAAATTGAAAAGGAGGTGAAAATTGTACTTCATCTACTAAAGTTAATAAAGACAGCTGATTCTAATTGAGCAGGAGGCCTGTTTGACCCTGCAAACTACTGCAAAAATGCTGTTAAACTACATTAATACTTCCCAAGCTCTGTTCAGTAGAACCTTTTACATGTGGTTTACTCTTCATGTTGTGCACTACTTTGTTGTTGGGATTCAGTGCTTCGCTGCTGCTTTTCCCAGACTGTTCTGCGGATCTGGGATTGCTTGTTCTACGAGGGCTCGAAAATCCTGTTCCGCGTAGCTCTGACTCTGATCCATCACAACCAGGATCTGATTCAACAGTCCCAGTCACTGCCGGACGTCTGCCAGAGCTTCAAGCAGATCACACACGGACCATTTGTAGAGGAGTGCCACACATTCATGCAGGTAAAAACCCCTACAACTCTTAAAAATCATCACGAGTCATTTTACGGGATGAAAGATTAGAGATATTACTTTTCCTTTTAGTAATCCTTTAATCCCCGTTTCTCTTGCCTTTCCTAGAAAATCTTCACTGAACCAGGAAGTCTCTCCATGGCAACCTTGACTAAGCTCCGGGCGACCTGTCGCTCTCGTATCACTGCTGAAGAATCCTGACCTCTCCCTGTTACTTAAATTCAGCACTCATTCCAGCAGATGTTTGCACCTTTTTTAAAAAAAAAAAAAAAACTGAGTCACTGTGACTGCTGTACATACTGTGAGTGTGAAACAAACACGCAGCAGTGTAAATATGTGATTAATCTTAGGTCTGTGCTGTATGAAATGATTGTGTAGTTTGGTAAACATTTCCTTTTGTTTAAACATGGAATTCTGCACTTTAGTCTAGAAAATGAGTGACGGTGAAGAAAAAAAAAAAATGCTTAGCAGTACATGTTCAGGTGTGATGAGTTGTACACTACGCATAGCTGGAAGAACCTGTCTACTGTATTTCACATTAAAATCCATCAAGATTATATACAGTGATTGTTCAATTAAATAGAAAGTTGACATTCAATACTGGTACAATGTTGTAATATAGTATGAATAAGTGATTAATCTGTAAGGTGGTGCAGTACAGTAAGTTAGAGGGCTGGATCCCCCCCCCCTTCTTACAATTGTGTGTTCAGGGGTCTCTTTAACACAGTTAAACAGTTTAAGTTCTAGGTTGACTGATTAGAGTTGGTTCAATATGTTCTCCAAGTAAAATTATGTGGATAATGAAAAGAATCATCAGCATCATAACGAACCAGTCTGTAATACAGCAAAAATCTCTCAGCTGAATATTTAACATACACCTGAGTAACCAGCTTGGAGTTAGGAAAAAAACCAAACAAAAAATGCAGCACATCACTCCACAGTAGGAATAGAATTTATTATCCAATACAAAAGATCAAACCCAGTACGCCATTAAAAAGAAGAAATTAAATTTTTACATTTCTTTTGGGGAGGGGGTGAAAAGCAAGAATGGAAATCAGCCATGCAGCTGTTAACAAGTCTATTGAATACATTCTGATTTTGTTGACCAAGTCTATGTACGGCTTCAGGGGGCACATCATTTACATTAAAGTAGGAATCCACACTTTATTGCCACAACTATCAGACTGCATTTGATTAGCTGCATTAACTGTGCAGTGCACTGATGGGATAGGCTTAGTTTCATCTGAGGAGGAATATTACTATAGGTAGCGGGGGAGAAAAGAGAAAAAAAAAACAAAAAAACCAAAAACACAAGCACACAGAGCCTTCTAAGAGTTGCCAGGATTATCTTATGCTCAGGAAGGAGAAAATACACCTGTGAGCATGTTTAGGTAGTTGATGTGATTCCCTCTGCCTCTTCAACTGGAAGATTCTTTATAAATAATTACACAGCTAAAAAGACAAACAGCAGTTCAAGCAAATACAATCAAGCTCCTAGAACACAAAACAAGAGCAGACCATTAATGGTTGACATGCTACAGCAAATTCAAACTCTCTCAAACTTTGAGTCACCTCAGGTTTCGTCAAGATGCATCTAAAGTTAGCAGTTTAATCATAATCCACAGAAAAGTGAAAAATATTCCGCAGATATGCACACACACACACACACGCTTCCATTCACTCAGGTTCATGCCCACAGAGTCATCCATGTGGCCAAAGTAACACCCTTTGGTTCATCCCTTCACCAATCAGCCTGTATGGTTCAAGTCTAATGAAGGGTCGCTCAGATGGCCTGGTAACCAGCATGGCTCCTCCTCTTGCCTATTAGATAGGCAACAAGGGTGATCAGCACCAGACCAGCCAGAGCTGCTCCAACAATAATGGGGATAATCATCTGGTTTTGGTCCATCTGACACTCCTCAGCTATAGACACACAAGAGGTAGAGCAGAAGGTTACGCTGTGCAAACAAAATGACAGTTTTTCCTTTAACACCACTGGGCTGATATGGATGTAGCACGTCAATGTTCCAACTGGTCTGGTAAACTGCATTTCAGACTTATCATTTTAGTACAGGGTAAGGCTTCATTTCATCTCATCTTCATCTCTGATTATTCATTCTGAAACAAGTTATGGATGTGTTCAACTGTCACCAGCAGCATCAGATTTTTCTTTTTGAATGCAAACCAAATCAAAAACGTTTTGCATGTAAAGAATATGGCAAAGTTCACCTTTTTGAATCAAGTTACAAAAACAAACTTGTCTCAAGGTTTGTTTTTTTTTGTTTGTTTGGTTTTTTTTTTTTAATTTGCAGGGTTGTTCATGGTCATAAACAGTTGCTGAGCACTATCAGGCTACACAAATGCTCCAGCTGCTGGAAACAAAGGCTTCAGATATCCAATCTCAAAATGTTTGATCCAACTATTAAGTGAGCATCTGCTCTCCACACATCTTCAGCCAGTGTGGAGAATCCCATTCAGCACAATTTTCACAATCAAAATGGGTAAAAACTTAAAGGAATGACATGCAATGTCAGAGACGAACAACATGCTTAATTCATTCTTACCTGTAGCAAACCGGCCACTCTTGACACCAAAGGGCTGGACTTGGAGATCGAATGTGTTGAGAGAAAAGCTCGGTGTCACAAACAGAGTCTGCTCTGCACTGCACATGTAGGAGTAGCCCAGCGTACTGCGCAGGTAGTTCAGACTGTTGTTACTCACGGAAAAGTTAGCTGAGTAGAGAAAGTTAATTTTATTCAGCTTCAAAAAGTCAAGGGAAAAAAAAAACAAAAAAACAGCAAAAACGAAATGCATGTTGTTCATAAGAGGTACTTACCACTGTCAGACCAATTTGCAAGCAGTGTTACCCCACTCAGATGGTACTTGTTGGTTGTGGAGTTCTGTGGACCAAAGGAAGAGCTGAGCAGTTTTGTAAAAATAACTAATGTAACATTAACAAAAAAAATAGGGTTAAATTTACCAGACTGAAGTTGAAGGTGAGAATAGTAGATTGCGTCTGTGTCAAAACCAGTGTAGCACTGCTGGCTCCACATAATCCCGTTGAGTTTGTCACATTAGGATTGAGGTTTAATACATCCTGGACAGTCTGGCCAAAAAAACAAAAAACAAAAACCCAAGATACACTTTGTTTCAAGTTTCTTTTATTTCTATTGACAACTGGTTAAACATTTGCTGTTTTTGGGGAGAATGGCTGCTCTTGAAGCTGTAGTTTACCTTATTCTGAGATGTGTAGGAAACATTGAGCTGCAGCCCCATTTTAGCCAGGAGACATATGGTGTCATTGGTGTCCTTCACAGTGTAATTGCCCTGCTGAGGTGTTCCTGGAGGGGTTGGAGTTGGAACTGCTGTTGTACTGACAGTGGTAGGTGAAGGTGTTGTGCTGGTTTGATCTGCAAAACATACGGTCTCTGCGAACAGAGAAAATAATACTGTGAACATGAAACCGTTCAAACTTAAAACCACTCAAAAGTAAAAACCTTTAACATCCACCTACCGTTTCGACTCAGCTCATTCCCTGGCATGTATGCCTCCAGCCTCATGTCAGTGAAATTAACATTTGCAGTGGCAACTGCAATAACTGTAGGGCTCACACATTTGTAGGTGGTGTTGACTTTTGCTTCAATCCCAACAGAGGCAGACACCAGAGTGACCACACCTACAACAGAGTAGGTAGAAATCAGCACAACAGTACCTTGAATACCATTCTGTTGTTTACACTGACATTTCAGTCCAAGTCCTCCTTCAGTTTTCCAAACAATCTCGAGGCACTGCTAAAAGTTACAAAGCGCTCAAATTTAAAATAATCAGTGTGGCCGTCCTCACAACTGTTATAAAAAAGCTCATCCAGGCATTCATAAGAGAAGAGCAACAAGTTAGCTAGCTGACATCTAAAGACAATCCCTCTAAACCCTGACTTTGCGGTAAAGGTCACACATTCAAACACGGTTTTAGTAGATGCACTTAGTGTCATTTTGAAGCACCTATATCACTTCATTCTCACATTCAAACTTTGGGGTCCAAGTTGCCCACCCACCTGGGTCACGCATCAGCCTTTTATTGCTGATTAGGAATAAAAATTAAATACCTCAGACCTGCACTATGAAGAAGGACCTAACCAAGTGTCAGTCATCCAGGACATTGTCATTTTAAGAACTTGAAAATAAGCATAATTTTTAAGATTTCCCACCTTGCAAACTTCTTGAAAACAAAAAAACAACAACAACAAAAAACCTCCAGATTTTTCGTTCATCATCAGCAACCAAATAAATTCCTAAATGAATTTCACGTGTAACACCGAAATGTCTAGTTATACATGTAGCATCCCGTCTTTATGCTACACTATTCAGAACAGAATTCTGACAATTTTTTAAAAACCACAAAATAATATGGTAAAATGGTAAATGGCCTGTATTTGTATAGCGCTTTACTAGTCCCTAAGGATCCCAAAGCGCTTTACACAGTCAGTCATCCACCCATTCACACACAGGTAATATATTCAGATCTATCACATGATTCAAGACAATGCATGGTCTCACCGGAGGTGGTCGCATTGGGGAAGACTGAAGTGTCGCTTAGATTGTACTGCAGAGTCAGGCTAGAAACCTGATACAGGGTTCCATTGGTTGAGAAGTTCAGCCCAAGAGTGTAGCCAGATCCAAATACTGCCACCAGCCTGGGAGAGCTGCCATCTTTGCCACATGTGCTGTTTGCTGTATCCACTGTGGTAGAGTTGGGCAGAAAGACCTGCACTGTTCTCTGAGGACACAACAAGTGATACAACAAATAAATAACCGGACACACAGAAATGAAGCAGTAGTAGGTGAGCAAACATCTGTACATACGTTGGCATGGGTAGTGTTGTATATAATGGAGAATGACGCAGACAGATCGGCTTTAATGCAGGTGGTGTTGCTTTCCTTCACCTCAAGAGTAACTGCATCGATACAACCTGGATATGACAGACAATAAGAAAAACTAAGTAATAAACTGTATAAATAAAAATCATTCAACCATTTAAAACTGCATCTTTAGGCAGAAAAAGGAAGAAAGAAAAAAGTGGCATCAGGTCTCATCGAGTGATAAATCCAAGTCTGAAATGTTTTGGTTTCAGAGACTTTCAGGGGTGTTACAGTCAGTGTCTACATGTTTGCAGGCTTCAATAAGATCCCAGAACCCCATTTTAAAGAAAGGCATGGCTTTAGATATTTACATAGTAATTAGATTACATGCTGAATTGTGCATTGTCATTTACAACACAGAAAACCCGCAGTCAAACTGTAAGCACTGATATACTCATTAGCTCAGAATATGATCCAGTTTAGAGTCTGACCCCTAGGTTTGCTATGATACCAAAATAAACTGATGTATTTAAAACCCACACTTACACCATGTGCATATTCTTTATCTCAGTCTTTAACTTAGATAAAGGGTAATTAACAGTGGTAATTGTACAGCGCAGCCGCTGTTACAAGACCGCATGGCCTACATTTACCTTGTTAAACAAAACAACAAACAAACAAAAAAGTTAACAGAAACCACCACTAGAGGTCTGCAGACTGCTAAAGCCAAGCGCCCATGACCACAAACCCAGAAGCATTTCAAGAGACAGCACTCAGTGAATACTGTGCAGAAGGCTTTTTGTGACTGAGGTCCACTTAACAATAATCCTACAGGCCGATAAACTGATTTTATGACAGCCGTATAATGATCAGAGTCCACCTATGGGATTAACAGCCTGTTGAAAATTCAAAACATCTGTGGGTCATGATATAAAAAGGGAAGACGCACAACATTTATATGACCTGTGTCACTTGTCAGCCATGTTGACCTTAGTGACTGTTGTATGGTGCGTTGCTATGAACTGTTGAGCTAAATTATCTTCTTTGCCTTCATAACAGATGGTCCCATGTATCCTTTGCTAAAGTAATGAAGCAAGCACTATCTGTAGGTTCTCAGTAATCCAGGTCGTTTTCAGTGTTTGTGTTGAAGGCAAGCAGACTCCTTTCAGTTGCTTTAAGACCTCTGCAGGGTAAACACCTAGAACTCATCAGCTTTTATAATTGATGCTTTCAGATTAGAGGTGAAATATCTTCAGAACCTTAAAAAAAAAAAAAAAAAAAAAAAAAAGGTCTGCAGCTACCTTCAACATTAACATTAAGAGAATTCAAACAACTTACACCCAGGTCACTTAGTTAGCAACCTTCCCAAACAAAATCTGACTCATGCACTTGTTAATGTTAACTACTGAAATTAACACTTCAACTAAATGCCCAAATAGCTGCCAAAAGATGTTTGAGGTGGCTACAGAGACCTGATTTTTTAAACAACATTAACTCAGACAAAACCCATCTGACCTAATGTTGCCAATCCAGTTATACAGAAAACTCAGCCTACTTTCACACTGGCAAAACACACGCGGGCTATTAATACCTTCATCCTCTGGAACCTTCTACCCCACTGCTACATGTTTCACTGTGTGTCAGATGGTGGCTATAAATCTCAAACACATTGTTATCTACAGTAAACACTTGTATTCAATCCAACAAATCATATCCTTTAAAAATAATGCAATACCAGGGTTCTCCCACTTGCGTCACACTTCCCATAAAGTCAACAGAGAAGCTGATGTGCTCTGGGTCGAGTTTGACTGCTTTATTTAAATTCAAAGAGGAACAGTTGGACTTTATCAAGTTCTGTCTGGCGTTCTCAGAATATGTGGGAACAATAAAATGGGAAATGCCATCAACAGAATAAACATGCTGGTGAGTTAGCAGAAAAAAAAAGAAAAAAAAAAGAAAAAAAAAAGGATGGTGCCACACTGAAAAAGTTCTGTGCATTTCAGGAATTTATTTGCTAGGGGGCAGATTTAACCAATCTTTGGCCTCATCCCACTGCAAATTTTATCATTCACGTATTAGTGCACTGACAGCTCTTCCTTCCTCCATTTGATCTGAACATAAAGACCACTGTGCGTCAGCCCTGTTGGTGGTCTCCGTCAATCACACCCACTCCTTTCTTGCTGAAACTTAACCCCATGTCACCCCTTTGTTGACCCTGCAAACACACTGCAGACCATTTACACAACACTGCAATCCAGTGAGCTGCAGACACTGTGTGCACAGACAGGATGAAGCATATCAAAAAAAAAAAAAGTATAAAACACTGACCCTGTTTTGTAATACAGATTCAAAACTGAACCCCCAGTTAGGTTTTACTTTAAAGCAATGTCAGTAATGTAGTTTTATATTACAGAGTGAGGATGGCAACAACTCGAGCTATAACTGTGCTGGCCTGTTTCCCTGTGTCAGCAGCAGCCAGGTGCCTGTGTATGCAACACAAAGCAAGCATAGCAGTCATGTGAAGCTCTCAAATGACACAACAATGAGGCTGATCTGCAGCTCACCAACATTTAAAAAAGAAAAAAAAAAAAGGAAAAGGGATCATTACTAAATCTACAGACTTTTCGGGCAACTGTGGTTTGGTTTCACAAATGACTCAGTGTGAAACTGGACCTTAAAAAAAAAAAAAAAAATGCTGTTGGGTACCTACTAACCCAATTTTACACTAATAAAAAGAATTAATCAGAAAGCTGTAATCGCACTGAATTATAGAGACATTCTACCTTTATGCTACAAAAGACTTCAGGCAGTTATTGGAAACGAAGGCCATTTTGTACTGAAAACTCAAAGTTTGATTTCTTGGTTTCGGTTTTTCGGAGGGGGGGGGGACGGCAAACAAACAAACACCACACCACGACTGATCTGCCTGCATCAAGACTTGACAGACAGCAATTAACTGACAATAGGAAAATCCATAAGTCTTTGTTAAATGAAAAATTCTAATCTTTTTGTCACACTAAGCATAAAAACTGCTCCTGTTTGCAGTCACACCCATAAAAGCCTGAATTTTGTTGTTTTTTTAAACCCAGGAAAAACCCCGGTATGCACTATTCCATCTACATTATGTAAATGTAGCCCGGATAAAAGAAGTAGAAGACGCTGCTGCACAACTGAGCAAGAGGACAAGTCTCTAGCTTGATAAGCTGGCAAATAACACCCATAAAACACCATCCTCAGCCACCCAGCTGAAGGTGTGGTGACTAAAATTTACTCGTTTTGTTTAAATGTTTGACAGTCTTAAAGTTTTGTTTTTCCCCTTTTAAAACTACCTGAGGTCAAAGAAACAAGTAAAGGCTGATGTTCTAGAAACTCAGTAATCCATACTTTCAGCTTCTTTAATCACTACAGTAGCTAACAGCTGTCCCATCACCCGCAGGAGGCTGTTTTTTTTTTTTTTTTTT